TGATTGATTCAGATTTTGAAGATGCTGAGGACCCCTTTTAGTTCATTTCCTTTCTTATTCTCGTTTGTTTGACTGTTTAGATTGCGGGAGAGTGTTGAAATCAGGTGATTTCGCGTTGGACAATCTTGGCTAAATTACCGATCGTTTCCACGGACCCCTTTTTATTTCACCTTATATACCTGTTCAATGCGATTCTGAGCCCTTGCGCGTTTGCAACGGGTTCCCTGCCATTTCTGCTTGTCCCAGTTTTCGTTGTTTCCAGGTTCTAAACCAACATAACAAGGTTAGCACGAAAGAAGCGCCGGCGTACACCTCCAAGCACGGAAATGTTCGCCATGGCTCCTAGTCTCGTCATGGAGAAGTGTCGGTAGGCCGGGAGCCAACTACTGTACTCTTTCGACCGCATTTTCACATAACGCGTCACGCGCTGATACGCACAGTACAGTTTGGAAGCAGAAAGGCTACATTTTGCGAATTCTGTACGACCTCTAGACGAAAGACATGTCTAAACAAGACACCAAGTACTTAGAAGTCTACGCTAAAGACTTACAGGAGACTCTCTTAGGACGCGAAGAGACTCCTAGGTGGCCAATACGCGCCTACGGACCGAACTACCGAAACCCGGCATTTCCCGTAACGTTCTACAGAAACCTTAAAACGTACCTGAATATCAAATACTCAATGCGCCCGGGTATGTTACTACAACCCGATGAGCCTCGAGTTCGACTCGATTACGCTTCATAAAAGATAAGTACTTAAACAAGGTGTTTAGACAAAACCTCAAAGACAAGTCCAGAAGTCAGAAGTTGTTCAGAATGTGTACCAAGTGTACCCATGGACCCTCACGTACCACGTATCGGGATCTCTACGGACCCGTATCGTCCCTGAGTATGAGTCAGGAAACTTCACCGGAATCAAGCCGGCTTGCATTTAATTCCGAGTGGCGCAGTACGCCACATGGACCGGCATTAAATAAGGCTCTAGAACCATGCAGAGTCATGCAGAGCAATCAGGAACGGGAACAATTCAAGTCCCTCACTCTTGACTAGACCAACCAGTAAAACCACCATAGTGGCGTAGTTCCCAGAGATACCCTTGACAAGTTGGGTATCCTTTGAAAGCTACGAATCAGACCTTTCACCAGAACCTAAGTACAAGGTACTTAGTTAGTACCCAGACCAGTAACAGCACTACGACGAGTCGGACCAGCTGGATTCCACAAGGAACATCCTACCAGTTGAGCCCGGCGAGCACAAGGTGTTATATCAAATACACCCAAAGCACGCAATCCGCAGGCGAAATGAGTCATCCGGGATACAGTGCACCCGATAACATAGTCCATAGGCCCGAAGAGTAAGTAGTTTATACCCGTATAGTCCCGGATTGTAGTATATAAAGGCCTGTACAACGTCGTAGTCAGTAGTTAATTTGCACCCGCGTATACAGCATAAGTGAAATACCAGTGTATCTTTGACTCGGAAACCATTGCTTCCACCGGTTTAAGTTTATCAACCGATCAGAACCTCCGTGAACCAGTAACAGTTTTACTTGGTGATCTTTGAGTTAGTACTCGGGAACTTTGCGAATAGCACTTGTGAAAGTCCTCTGTCCGAGACGGAGTTTAAACGACAGAAACAAGAGCTGTGGACAAGGTAACTTAAGAACCCTTGAAGTCACCGCGCTTGCAACTGCTTCGGATTCATATAAGAAGACAGGCACCTGTGGTTAGTTTAGACCAACTTAGTGTACCCAAGCCCGCGGATCTTTACGTACCCAAAGGCGATCTTGGTCCCTATACTCAGTTGAGTTAAAAGAGTGAATACACGAGATTAGTCAACCGGTTAGTCCTCGAGACTCAGTGTACTTGAGTGTCACCTCATTCGGCTAAGACCACGGGAACTTCCACTTCCCGGAATCCATAAGTTAAGAACCCTAGCTCCTCGAACTTGCACTTGTGCTAGTACAGGAAGTACATCACACCCCCCGTTTGGAACCTCCTTGAGTCACCAGATCTTGACTAAGGTTGTAATTCGTTACGAGTGATAAGGTCGGATCCTTGTACTTGTTCATTAGGGACTTCAGAAGTCCGAGTGTTTGTTTTGTTTTGTGTTTGTGTGTTGGTTGTGTGTATTTCTGTGGTGTATTTCTGCACTGCACATCATATTCTGGAGCCCACCGCGACTCTGATCATATGATCAGAAGAACACCCTAGTGCATGTAATCTTGAGTCAATTGAACGTAGTGCTCCACACTACTTGAATAACAGCACACTTTGGTTACCGGGTTGAACCTTAACTTGAGTAAACAGGACTTCACCTAGTGATACCGTTGCCTTAGCAGTTGAAAAAGCGGTAGCTAGTGCCCTGACGCGACGTCGGATTTCAAGAAAGAGGGAATGATATGCTGGATAGTCAATGAGTGTCGAAAGGATATCATGACATGAGACACCCTCGGAATTTTCGTTGAGCATGGCTCGGATTTTCGAAATCCGTTGATAAGTGCGCTGTTTCTGTTGTTCGACCTCATCATTGGTAGACACTACTGGCCGTTGGGCTTGCAACGCATCTTCAATGATTTTAGTCAACTCGGGATCTCCAATAGTATCCAGGTTTTATCCTTGTCAACAGGCTCTTTGACTGTCTCTGGTTTGTCGGGACTTTGGTGCTTCCTCGACAGGATCTGTGAAACTGACTTGTTTCTTCACGGTATCACTACCTCGACTTGTCTTTGACTAGGTCGGGGAATGAAGTTCCCATGCAGATTCGGTCCTGGTTTCCGTTTCATAATTTCTACAGGCTGTTCGTTATGTTTTTCATTTTTAGACTGTGCACGCGTATTTGCTAATTGGCTCTCAAGAGGCTCTGTGAACGCGTCAACAGGCCCAGACTTCAGGGAAGAGGAAAGGCTTATACCAGGGAAGGGTTGTCTTGGTGCCAACCTTGTTGTTGCGCCACGATCAGGCGCTCCAACAATTCTTCCTGCATAAGGGTAAGCCTTTTCTCTTCGGGTTCTTCTGAAGCCCTCTCCATCCTTGAGCCTAATCGAAATTTGACTGGGTATCCGATACCCGGTCCGCGTCTAGTATAGTCTGTGGACTAAACATGTCGTCTTCGCCATTTGCAATGAAGCTTTGAGTTTTAAGCATAGCTGATGCTTCGGGAGGTAACTTCCCGTTGGTCTTTTCCATGAGGTTCCACACCTGCCACGCTGGCCAGATGCCGGCTTTAGCCTTACTAGCGAGTGATACACCATTTCGCAAGAAGTAGTACTTTACTCCGTTAGGCTTGTATATCCAGCCTTCAGCTTCCATCTTCTTCTGATGAACACACTCTCTAACAAAATGACCTTCTTCACCGCAGAAGAAACACTGGTTATGCTGTTGAGGTGGGGCGGGGGTCTTGGGTTCCCTTGAGGGTTCCGAGCTATGAAGCCGTTCGGTTGAACCGTTGGTGGCCCTCCCGGGTAGTTAGGAGCTCCCTGTGCTAAATGTTGTACAACCTCATACGGGTAGCTCAAAGGCTCTTGAGTATAGTCATATTGCATATGTTGAGTTCGAAGGTTGGGATTTCCCGTAGGGTTCCCTCTTAAGGCTTCTTTAACGGCTGCAAGTAACTGTTCATGTTGACGAGCTTGAGTCTGCTCTTGCGCCATCCTAGCCTTTGCTTCTAGGTTGAGTTTATCTAGTAACAAAGACAAGGATTCTGTCTGTTGAGCCAATGACTCTGTCTTAACTCTCGACGTAGAGGCTGGTATTAACATACGGTCAAAAGTTCTACCGGTTACCTCGTGGGCTCCGCTGCTTGACCGAATATGTTCATGTCCCCAAAATGACTGCTAATAGCATCGGATACTTCATTCAACGTCCACTTCATGCCATTTGTTTTGGCGTTCGCAGACGGCGTAGGATGCATCCGTTTCAATTCGACTTGTATACTGGCCCAAGTGGGTCCTAGAATACAAGGGACGAGTGACTCTATAGCGGTCTTCTCGGTAATGTCTTTGCTTTTGATTAAGTACAGTAGTACGTGCATAATTACGCGCTTGAACTCAACCCAACCAGACTTGTTATAGATCGGGTTGGCTCGGTAGATGTTAAGCTTCTCTTCAAGTTCCCGAGGCGTGTGTTCTCGGTCTTCGGTGCCAGCACCGTAGCTTTCGAACACCGCTTTCTTGAACTCGTCGTATTTAGCAGCACTGTACTCTGGCATAGCAAACCATTGCTTTCTAACGTCTTCATCAACATAGCTGACAGCTATCTCGATCTTAAGAGCGTCTTCTTGGATCTTCTTAGCTGGGAACAACCAGTCTAAGGCGTTGAAGTATCTTTTGATTCCAGCTTGAGTAGCCATAAACTCGGGTGCGTGTCTGGTCCCCGGAATCGGCAGGTTACTACCGTCCAACTTGTCACTAACCGCCTGCGACGGGTAATTGGCGGGATCTAAGGTAGCAGACATGGTGTTCCGTAAACTAGCAAATAGACTATTGGGGTGTAAAGGATAGGCTGCAAGACCAAAGTCTTCGTCTTCTTCACTCGATTGGTCTTCTGGGTACGAGACAAGCGAAGGCTTGAAAGGTCTAGGTGCACCTGGTGCTTTTGGGTTGTTAGTCCTTGTCTGAGGAGTAACGGGTGTCGGGGCTGAAGTAGCTTTCCGACTTGAAGGTTGGTTTTGACTAGACTGAGCTGCTCTGGCAATGGCTCGTTGTCTATCGGCTTCTCCACCGTTTACTAAGTAACCTGGCGGATGTAAACTTGGTCTGAGAACTCTACCTGAACTAGTTGAAGCACTTGAAGTACTCGCACTTGGTCTAGGTGGAGTGAACGCTCTGCCTGACTTTGCGTGTAACGCGAAGACTGCGAATTCGAGGTTCTTTTGGGAGTAATTTTGGTTTTTGGCGGTAACCTTTGGATTCCGAATCCTCAAGTTAAAAACAGATAAGCCCCCTCGCGGTGGCTCCAGATGTTGTGCATTATGTAATTCCAAGTGTCAAATGAACAATAGTGGCTTGTCCTGGAATCGAACCAGGGACCTTCCGACTATGCATTGGGTGCTCTAACCACTGAGCTAACATGCCATGCTTCAACTGGTGTCTCATGTCATGATATCCTTTCGACACTCATTGACTATCCAGCATATCAGCGCGCACGAATGCCCGCGAAACGGTCATCCCCAAAAAATCAGCACTGGAGGGAGATCTAGATAGAGACGGTGCTGCAGGAGTGCCCGGTGGCAACGGAGATGAGTTTGTATCTGTCATGAATGATAGAGGATGGGAAATCAACATACAAGATGTGTGCACCTTTATACAGATCTGAAGCTCAGGTCCGAGTCGTCGGAGAGACAGTATCACCCAAGTATCACCTTTCACTCGAAGACACTCTAGAACAGAAACAAAAAGTGTTTCATTGGGTACACTCACACACGCATACATAGATAGCCTAAGTCTTAATCACTGTCCGAAATGTTAATAATGTCCTCCGAAACGTACACTACCTCATCCTCATCAGAGGATATGTCTAGAACCTCCTCCGAAACACTGGCCTTCACCAGGGGCATCTGTTCATCCTCGGAATCAGACGAAATGTCAATGACCGTCGGAACACTGTTGATGGTCAAAATCTCCTGCTCCTCATCGGAGGAGAGAGAGGATAACATCTGGAGTGATGCATGATTTCGCCGAAAGATCCTTGTCTCCAGACAGTGTGTCAAGATTCTTCTCCATCTCCTCATCTTCATCGGCACTCCTGTCCTGTGCTATGACCAAGTCGCTCCCTGCTACGTGCGCTTCCGCCGTGTCTGCATCCACCACATCCTCCACCATATCTAGACATGTCCATGAGTGCCCACCCGGGTGCACTCGCACTCGCGGGGCGGGTCACTCGTGCCTCGAAGGCAGACACCCGCACTCGCACGCCACCCGAGTACTCTACTCGAGTGCGACACCCATTCGCGAGTGTCTCGCACACACGAGTGCGCAGACACCCGTGTAGGGTGGCGGGTGTGTACGAGTACACCCACCTCCTCCACCATCCTCCAATCCCAGTCGTAATCACTTCATGCCACGACCGCATCCCCCTGCAATTGCGAGGGGAGCAGCATCGGTGCATGATGCTGAGGACACGACGGGTGTGGGGGAGATGAAGGAGTAAGCATGGGGAGTGGGAATTGGGCATAGTGCCTCATTGGAGGGCTTACCCGCAAGGAGGGATAGATCTACAGTATATGATCAGTATAACAAGATGACGGCACCTGCAAGCGCCGCCGACGCGAAAAGAAAGAGAAAAAACTAGGAAAATACATACCAAATCTGCCACGTCGCCTGCAGACGACGTGGCAGCCCATAATCCCCGCCCCGCTCTTCAAGCGCGCTGTTGAGCGCGGCGGGTAGCGTCACGACTTGCAGTCCTCGCGGTCTTTGTTTGCTGCCCGTTTGCGGGGCTTATGCGTCCTGCAGCAGTTGCTGCTGTCGTTTCCGTGGAGACGACTTAAAGTCGTCTCCTGGTCCTGTGACGCCGACCCAGAGTCGAGCGCCCGTGCAGACATCGCCGACTTAAAGCCGAGCGACGGTGCTGGCGTCGCCGACTTAAAGTCGAGCGACGAGAGATGGGTAAGTGGTGGTAGGAGTAAGAGAGAGCACTCGATCACACGCTTACGCGTACTTGCGGAACTCGGCCCGATTCGCCGGATCGCGAGAAATCCTCGTGCGCATCGTTTTTCCCCTCAAAAAAATCAAAATAAAATTGGTAAAATACACAAAAAATGCGAGTGTCCACCCGGGTGTCTGCTGGTGGGTACTCGTGGCCCAGAGGCCGACACCCGCACCCGGTGGGCACCCGTCAAGACACCCTACCCGTTTAGGGTAGACACCCGGCACTCGGTGTTGAGTGCGGGTGCACCCGCGAGTACCCGCGAACACCCGACACTCGTGGACGTGACTAACCATATCCGTGGACGCAGTGTCCTCCACATCTTCGAGCAATGCCAAGTTATACAAGACAGAGGGTACCCAAACTCTGATGCTACGCGCCGTGGCTGGACATGTGCCACTAGGCGGCGAGTCCCAGCATGTGCTCCCTCGAGATATTGGAAAGGAAGGAGAGGGTGATGCGCAACGAAAGGTACGTTTGCGCAGGATGACAAGGAATCTGGTCGTGGCGAGGTTTAGCTTTGCCAACGATGACTGAAAGAGGCGAAATGTCTGCGTCCAAATTATTATCGCGAATCAGAAGGACTTTTAGTAGCTCCCGAATCGCAAGTCCGGGAAAGATGACCTTGTCGAAACGCTTCAGGATTTTACCAAGGTTGGTACCCCAGCTGAAATGTGTCGCAACGAAGCAGGCCAATTCGTACATATTCGGAGCAGCGTCCCAGGAGAGGATATGAAGCGATTGGGATACGCAAGGCGTAATATAGAGGCGAATGATGTCGTAGCTAGGAAATCATGGGGAATGTTCTTGATGAGAGATCTTGTAGCGCTGTGTTCACGTAAAACATTGAAACGGCGGCGCCAAGATGTAGCGTATTCTGCGAACTTATGGGCAGATAACCGTGACGCAGCCCGAACAAGTTCATCGCCGATGCCCGTTTCAGCCAGCAAGCGTGATTTCTTGATGCCGCAGTTAGGTACGCAGGCTGAGGATCCGTCAGTATCGAGTATCTCAGATAGAATTGAAACTTACCGAATAATCACGCCAGCTAATACGGCCATAAACACAAACTGCTCTCGCGATAGAGCAAAGTTTTCATAGATACTGATGTCGGTGAGCTTGAGACTGATAGTGTCATCCTCCGATTGTTGCCTAGAACGAGATCACTATGAATTTGGAGAAACAGGTGAAAATACTAACAGACGAAAGACTCTTGTAGCACCAAAAACAAATGCGTCACTGTCCTCTGTCCACACAGCGTCGATAATGTCATTGGCTGACATCCAAGCAAGTTCGGCTTCAGCTTCGCCTGGAGCCTATCCAAATATTTGAGATATATAGGAGGTACGCGGAGAAACAACCATTACCTCATGGTGAGCAAAGCCAAGAGCGTCGAGGAGAGCCTTAGTGTCATCTAACAGATGGTGGGATGTCCCCCGTACGGAAACACCGCGCTTGGAGTTAGGGCGCCCGGGACCGTCAAAGACAAAGATGGGAATGACGGTCGTCGAGCCGAATAGGGTGGTGCAACGTTGAAGATTGAAGCAAGTGCGATATTCTTGCTTTGATGGCGATGGCTGGGGGCAGTTGCTTGAAAAAGCCATGGGCTGTGAACAGATGTTAGAGTTAGAATGAAA